AGACAGAGAAAGTGTTTCAGTTCGTCATTTGGCAAAGAGGTTTAATATTGGGAAAACGCAAGCAGCTGAAATTGCCAAAAATAAGGAAGATATCAGGAGTAAATGGCAATCAGGAACTAATATAAATCAAAAGAAGGATTTTTTTAATAAGGAAGGTTTTGCTATAGACAAACCATGTTTTGAGTGGTTTGTGAAAGCTAGAAGTCAGAACATTCCAATCTCAGGGCCGTTAGTGAAAATGAAGGCTAAAGAAATCGCCACTACTTTGGGCTATAATAATTTTAGTGCGTCCGACGGGTGGCTGCAAAAGTGGCGCAAGAGACATAGTGTGAGTTTCAAATGCATATCTGGCGAAGCTGCTGCAGTAGATCAAGTTGATGTGTCACAATTTTTGGAGAAACTTCCGTCCATGTTGCTTGGCTACAAACCAGAAGATGTGTACAACGCAGATGAGAGTGGACTTTTTTTTCGCGCATTGCCCGACAAAACTCTGTCCTTTAAAGGAGAAACATGTGTGGGTGGAAAGTTGTCTAAAGATAGACTAACCATTTTATTCTGTGCAAATATGGCTAGTGAAAAATGCGATTTGATTGTGATCGGGAAAGCGGCTCGTCCCCGTGCTTTAAAAAACGTTGCTATTAAGGATCTACCAGCGACTTGGAAATCCAACAAAAAGGCATGGATGACCCGAGAAATCATGTCTGAGTGGTTAGTCGAATTCGACCGGAAAATGAGAATCCAAAAAAGGCAAGTTCTTTTATTTTTAGACAATGCATGCTCTCATCCTCGTGATATGAAAATGAAAAATGTGAAAATTATATTTTTACCGCCAAACACAACTTCTGTTTGTCAGCCCATGGATCAAGGTGTCATACAGAACTTTAAATTTTATTATCGGCACTTGATTTTAAAACATATTTTAACAAAAATTGACGATGGTCAAAGCTTATCTGAGCTTACAAAGTCTATCAATGTGTTAGAAGCTTTGTATTTTATAAAAACAGCAAGGAATAAAGTAAATTCCTCTAGTGAATGTAGCTCAGAATTTGCTGAGCAAAATTATTGCGATGCTGAAGACGATCTGCCCTTAGCGACACTTGCTCAGTTACTGCGACATGCCAAACATTTAGGAGTAGCAGATCCCCAGAAAGTAGATGATTTGCTGGCCATAGACAATAATATAACAACAGAAGAAAATGCCATTGGCAACTTTTCGAATTTGGATGTAGAAAGCCCAGGCCAACTTGAATATGGTAGTCCAAACGACTCAGAAGAAGAAGTGGAACTGGTGGACTCACTAAGCGGTTCAAAAACGATAAATTCATATGGGGAAGCTCTAAATCATATTTCTATATTGAAAAAATTTGCTAAAGATGATTTCACTGCATTTCAACATTTGAAAAATTTAGAAAGTTATTACGAAAATTGTCTCCTTCAGCAAAAGATGGTGAAATTTCGTCAGACAAACATTTTAAACTTTTTTCAACAAGCTAAAGAATAATGTTTTTTTTAAATTCTCGTACCATGTATTGAAGCATTTATGTTTTTGTATGCGTATATGTACATATATTATATAGATATATAGCATAAATACATACTTTAAAAATGTGGCGAGTTTCTGTTTCATTTTTCTCATGATTATAATACCTCATTTCCTCATGATTATATACCCCGTTATTTATACTCTATACTTACATACTCTCTTTTAAACGGACACCTCCCATAAGCGGACAAAAGTTACGGAACCGTGAGTGTCCGCTTATGGGAGCTTTCACTGTATTTTACGGAAGCGTTAACAAGTTATTATGCTGAAATATTTCCTTACATGACTCTCGCCTTTTAATGTTAAATATCAACCTTAAGATACGTTTTTGTAAAGTCGATGCGTAGAACACATCTATCAGCGTTGATTTGGGGACATTTGGCTTCAATTTCAATATAGCATAGTAGCACCTAATCAGTTACCTGCATATTCCGTCGAATTCAATTCAATCGTGCATCCAACTCAATACCCAGGAAGGTCGTAGAGTCTGGGATAGTGCTACTAATAAGGGTACTAGTGTAAAAGTGAACCACTACCGTATTGTCAGTATTCAAGATCAGGCGATTTGTTTAGCACCAGTCTTCCATCTCAAATAATATTATTCCCATGTTGCGAATTTGCATTTACAACGGCCGATGTGTCATGAGCGTAATTCATGACTGAACCTGATAGCTTCAGATCGTTTACAAGCAGAATGAAAAGACGTGGTGTCAATACAGATCCCTGAGCCGCACCTATATTTATTTCATAGGTAGCTGACGGCGCATCGTTCACTTTTGCTTTAAGTTCCCTTAAGTACTTGTTTTATTCACTTTTTGAAACTTTCTTATATATTTATACTTGAAACACCACGAAATCCTAAGACCTAAGTACCCGTGGGTACCGCGGGGCATAGGGGGAAGAGGGAGGACGTCATGTGGATTCTGGTGAGTGAAACACTGCATACGGTTTTCACCAGTGGACAGAGATGCTCACGAAGAAGGTTTAGGTGTACAATTCGTGTAAATTGACTGAAACATGACGGAATTGTGACTTAAGGTGTCTAAAATTTGCGAGTGAAGCTGCGAAACTTGAACCTCATTATTCATTAGACATTAATACAAACCCACCCCAGAATATATATATATATATAAAAAACCGAGTAGAACTAATTCTTTTACGATTACCAGGTTTTCGCCTCATCTATTTTCCAGCAGCTCGCGTTGATGTCGGACGATATAACCCTCAAAACGACTTTATTAGCTCATGAGTTTTTCATGCTGCTTCGGATGGAAGGGTTAAATTGCGTTGACGTTTAGGATAATGTTGTTTTAAAATGGGCAGCCGTTAGCTTTATACCAACACGTACAGTGTGCTTTCCAGGTTTTTGGATTTTAACGCAGAGGCGAATATGAGAATAAGGAAAGAGCAACAATCCTTTATGAAGTCAGTAAGCTTGCAACAGCAACAAAGGAAAGAGTAAGAGATATTAACAGGGTTTCACACCTCAGTCATTTATAAACAATCTAGAACTACTTGGACTGAATCCGCAGATGCATTCCCAAATTCAGAAAGCAGTTATACTCACCATCACCTCCATTGTAAGAAAATGTTTACAATAGAATTAGTTATATGAACTTGGCTCAACCCGTTCATGCATCATATTTACCAGACTGGGCTGTGAAAACATGTGATGAAAATAATAATAATTATAATAATACTAATAATACTGATAATAATAATGATTCTAATAATAATTCGGCTTTATTGATACAAAGTATAAAAGGCCTAAGTGTCGCTAAAAAGTGTTTTTCGACAAATTTGTCTGACAGGTATGGAGGGATTTGTGTTGTGATTACCTTACGGGTCAAGGTCAATACGTGCAATTTTTGTAGGTCTATTTTTTAAACACTCAGTTCACGATATTTGTGTGATACTATCTCAAATTGCCTCACTCCACAAGCAAATCTAACACACACTTTTTAAGTAGTCTTTAAGCTGTCACACCACTTTAGCTTGAGACCAGTATTCATACGTAATAATAATACTTACATGTTTTTCAAACCTCAAATCAGAATCAACCCATAGTCCTAAATTATTGCACTCATTTTGTATAGGGATCTGTTAATAAAGATGCTCAATTATAGTAATGGTTTTGCCCGCCCTTTTTTAAGCTATGGCCCAAATATGATTAAATTTTGAGATTATGGGCATAAGATACGTTAGATAACTTCATTAAATCATTATTAATCAATTGTTCGGTACTTTTTAAACCTGTAAAATCAAAGCCAAAATACAATTGAGTGTCGTCAGCATCGTGATGAATACTGTAGTGTTCAACGTGGAAGTCAGAAATTTAAATTGAGAGCAATAATGGGCCCAGAATGGAACCTTGTGGTACCCCTAGTCTTACTGGTATTTCCTCCGAGATACTTGACCGAATCACGACCCTCTGGCTCCTGTCAGAGAAATAACTCAAGACAAAGGTATATAAGTTTTTTTTTACAAGAACAGATGATTCCAGAGTATTGGAAGCCTTTGTATAACAAAGTAATACTAAGCATGCTACATTTCTGTGATCTACACATCTGATTAAGTCATAACCTGACTCTCGTTGTGCTGTGGTTTTTCCTGAAAACCGATTGGATTTTAGGAATGATACCATTAGAGAAGACGTGGTCAGATACCTGATGTTCCATGGCTAGTTCTAACAACATGGAACATGCATATTCATCGACCTCAGATGCGAAATATCTGTAGAGTTACTTATGTTAGTTAGGGGGACAACATTTGTTTTTTCCAAAAGTTGGGGAAATTTGACGATGTAATTGCATAGCTGACGATGAAAGTTGTACGTTCAATTAGCAAGTTGAAAATGATTGTTAGCTTATTTATGATTGTTTTGTCAACACCAAAGGCATTACTTTTTAAACTCCTCGAGGCATCGTGTCAAGTTATTTGGAACAAATGTGAATTGACTGGCTTGCTGGCTGGTATTATATTTCTTCAGCATTTTCATTTGTAACTAACACTTAGCAATAGTAGGTAAATATGTATGTACAACTTAGATAGAACATCGGGCCCAAACGGCTTGATTGATTTTGACATATGATTGTTGTAATGCGAGTAACACTTGGTCATGTACTGGGTATATTAAAATTTTATTAAACTTAATAGAATGATTTTAATCAAAAAATGTCAACTTTAAAATGTCTATTCCACAGTCTATAGCTTGAATGGCTCGACCGTTCTGACATATCTATAGATTTTTTTTTTAGAAATTTCGTTTGATTTTTGAGCATCAAGCCGGGGCTCTAGACAAGTGCTCTTTATGACCATGGTATAAAGATGGAATAGACCTAAGATCTTTTCGGGTTATCTAAAATGTTCTTGGAGTACTTCTGATCTCTTTCGACTGGACTAGAAAGTCTCTCCCGCGACCATCCTCTTAATAAATGATGTCAGATTATTCATACAGCTGAAGGAAAAACAAGATGCGATGGCTAGTGGAGTGAAGAATCTCGCTCAGTCGGCTGAACATTTGAAAAGCGTCGGAGCTGGGGTGTGAGCAAGAAACTTCCAAGCTTGTAGCAGCATATCAGGTTTGCAAAACAAACCGTGAAACATCACAAAGGTAAACTTTATTTACTGCAAATAGACTAAACACATACGTGTCTGCTCGAAACTTTTTCTATTTTGAAAGAAAACAGAACGAGAAACGAATACCTTGGAAGAAACAGCGAGGAGTTGTGACCAGTAAACATTTTTTATGGGATTTGAGATGTTTGATGAAATCTCTTTAAAATAGGTGAACCAGATAGTTTTTGGCAAATGATATATGTGATGTTCTTGACATTTTCGCGGATTAAATGAGATTAGGCTTCCATTTGCCTTTGTATCTGAATTCCTGAAGATCAGAAGTGTTTCGATGTTTGCCTATATTTAGACTAAAGTTGGGCAATTGTACGATTTGGCCTATTTCACGAACTGGCTCATTAATGACTTATTTGCATTCTAATTTATAGTGAGACTATTTTAGATGTTACTATCAAAATGCATAACAAAAAACTCAGGTGATTACTGAGAGCAAAAATATAAGCTTCATTTATAGAACTGAAGCTTAAGAATAACTAATTTGGAGCACATTGGAAACAGAAAAAAATATCCCATAACAAATACAGTAATGGACAAAAGTATATACACAAATATGAATATTTACCTAAATACCTTTAGAAAACGAATTCATACTTCATTGCTCCATAAACAAATGCGTTATTAGTAGGAAAACTAAATTCCTTGTTTTTACATTATCTGCAATGAACGCAATACAAGTCTGAATATAAGCACTTTTTTATGAGGGACAAAAATATGTAGACAAATTCTTTTCAACATTAGTTTAGTACAGTTTCGTGTCAGAAGAGGATTAGTTTGTGTTCATCAAGTATTGTGGAATAAGCTGAGTGATTTTACTATAAGACCATGCCGCGTGGTCCAGAAATTTCTTTCGATGTGAAAACTAAGATCATTGAGTCATCAAAGATGGTCAACGTCAAGTCGAAATTGCCAAAAATTTAAAGCTGAAGCGTAAAGCAGTTTGGGCAATATTGAACAAATATAAACAAAAAGGTATATTGGAAGCCCCTAAGAGAAGTGGTCGGCCTAGAAAACCAAATGCTAGATCACTTAGATTAATAAAAGTAATTTCGTCCAAAGATCCGTTTAAAACCCCAAGACAAATAAAAGCCGAAATCGAGACAAAATGAATTGTCAGTGTTTCTACGAAAACTATAAATAGAAGATTAAATGATTTGAAGTTATTTGCACGTCGCCCGAGTAAGAAGTCGCTAATCTCAAGGGAAAAATCGTAAGGACCGATTATAATTTGCTCGGTTGCATCTTGATTGGAGCATCTGTGACTGAAAGATGGTATGTTTCAGTGACGAATCCAAGTTCAATATGTTTGGATCAGATGGTGTTCATCACGTTAGACGTCCTAGTGGACAAAGATTGAACCCCAAGTACTCTTTGCCCACTGTCAAACATGGAGGCGGGTATGTTATGGTTTGGGGGTGCTTTTCGGGGTTTGGGATGGGACCTTTACATAGAATAGTTGGCATTATGGATAAGTTTGTATACATAGACATACTAAAGCATGTCATGTTACCCTATATGGACGACAATATGCCCTCAAGATCAATCTTCCAGCAAGATAATGACCCGAAGCTCACTTCAAATCGCGCAAAGAAATTCTTTCTGTGTGAAAAAATACCAGTTCTCAAATGGCCTTCACAGGCTCTCGATATAAACCCCATTGAAAATCTATGGGAATATTCAGATAAGCAAATACGAGATAAAAATTATTCAAACAAAGATGAACTTTTTCCCGTTTAGAGCAAAAGTGGAACCAGATTGATGAATCTTATATCCAGAAACTTCTACAATTTATGCCGAGACGATGCCATGCGGTGATTGATAATAATGGTTATGCTACAAAATATTAACACAAACATGGTTGCTTTTCTATAATTCAATGAACTTTGTTTCTTTTTCTATAATTGTTTTGCTTTGTCTATATCTTTTTGTCCTTCATAGTTATAGTTTTTTCAATTAATTTTTTATTGAAGGGAATCTAATGAATTTATCTATGTATAAGTGAGTATTATGCTATAACGAATTATGTATATGGTGTTTGGTTGGTGTACTAATTAAACAAGTTAAAAAAGAGATACAGCACAATATTAATTTGTCTATATACTTTTGCCCATTACTGTAAATGCCAACGTTTGTTTAATTTAAGCACAAATATCACATATTGATTACACCTGATCGTATACTCTATTCCGGTATAGTTTAACAAACTTAATGGTGGGACAAAATGCGGAACGGACATGAATGACATAAATTGTTTTGTTTCATTTAAAGGACTGATCTTAGGTTGAATTTTATTTGCTTAAAGTCTTGCAAGGTGGCAATAATTATGAAAACTTCTATTTCAACTGCCAGAAAGCGATTATTTCTCATCTAAGATTGTATAATATTATGCAAACACGTGTTATAGAAACCAACAAATTTCATGTTCGCCGATCGGTCAGATACGTTTTCACGCCGAGAGTCATCAAACAGGATAACTAGAGACTGATAGAAATCCACAATTCAGTAAACATTGTGGTGGAATAAAAACTGGATGAAATGTATCTGATTCTTCTTTACCTATTGAAAAATATCCAAATCATATAACTTATCTCAAATCCATGGAATTTCTCCATCATAATTATTCGTTCTCTTACACGTAGGAAGTGAAATATTCGTGTCAGAACTTCACCATCAAGGAACCTTTCCCGCTCATGCAAGGTAGGTTAAAAACCCCTCAAGTAGGAAACACAACGTAAAATGTTTCTTAGTGGCCTAGATTCAAGGGATTGCGACCGGTTAAGCACCTTGGTATCAAAAGGAGTAACCGCAAACTGCTAGTTCCTGACAGTAAATACTTAGGACCTAGAAACCCTTTGACGTTGAATTTCTTAATTCTTTGTCGTTACACTGAGTCTTTAGCGTTCTCTGCAGCTTTGGAGTTTTCTCAACGAGTCTGACATTTTCTTCCATTATGTGCTATTAGCTACGGAGATTAAAGAAATAAAATTGGCAAGTTGAGTGTTTCTGCATAGCGGTGTAAGAACGTAAGATTTGGCCTGAGATCTGAATAATTTTCTTTTTTTAAACTTTCGGACACACAGCTACTTACCCTTATTTTTGCGCTAAAGATGATTTAAAAGTTGTATATAAGTCAAAATATTTTTAGTATTACACCAAAGGGCAAAGACAATAGAAGTTTTGAACAAACTATTCTTAGTATCACTTTCCTTAGGTATCGATAGATAAATCAACGTCGTCGAGAACATCTTTAGTTGTCATCTGCTCAAAATAGTACCACATACTATTTACTATACTATACCATATATTTTCAGTGTAGTTTTTTATTTGTATATTATTATAGTAAGGTCACTGGGGTAAAGAAACGTTAGTAAACAGTCAACTCAATACATGCAGCAGCCAGAAAAACATGGATATTTATAGCATGAAAATTACATTATGAATTTCAGATGATACATCAAGACCTTAAAAATTCCAACAGACTTTATTAATAGCCATTTTGAACCGAATCAGTTTCACACGTGGTGTGGCCTTTAGGTGTAGAGAATTTATATAAATCAGTTCAGGAGTTCCCGTCATTTTTTTGCGGTCTAATCGGCGACTAAGTATCTATTATGAGTTAAACATCAGCGTGAACTATTCTTCTAGATGAGATGAGGCCAGAATATCATGTGGAACCACTGAGATTGAACTCTTTAATATTAGGTTTGAAGGATTGTATTGGTAAAGTGTTTAAAGTAGCTGGAAGGCTATTTATTGCAAAGGTGCCACATAGGAGCAAGATTTATTGAAAAAGGTTGTACTGTATGACGGTATATTTAGTTAAACATAGCGCAAGCTCAAGTCGTGGTAGTGAAGTATAAAGGACAATTTGCTAAACAAATAAAATGGGATTTTGTGGTGAGAAGAAAGGAGGTGCGCTACCCATCGCTGATGCCTTGTAAGCCATTTTATATTCTTAAGATGCCTGGAAATTCTTTCTCTTCTCGAGATTCTTGAAATATAGCGTACAGCTGTTTTCGACTTTTTTTAGTTAGACAGGAACCAATAACATAATCAGCATACTCTAGCTTGGGCTGTTAGTGGGTTCTAGTTTGGGGTCTTCAGGCAGAATACTGTTGAAAATGTAAATAGATTTCAACTTCACATGTCCGCTTTAAACAGCCCTAGAAACATGACCTCGAAAGGTAAGGTGTTCATCAAATGTTACCCCAAGGTAGAGCAGGCTAAGCTCACAATTAATTTGTTTGCCTACAATATAAAGTTTTACTACTACCTTGAGAACTGCTATTTGCTAATACTTTATTTCAAGTTGGCAATGGAAACAAAACTTTGCTCATGATACATTTGCCATAACAGACGATCAGACTTGGGGATTGTGATGAAACATTTAATACGACTCCTTTTCGGCAAAATCCGAGAGACCATCCTTTGTGTTCATGGGTTTACAGTTTTTTAATATTTACCAGAGAGGTAATCTGTCATTATTGTTGTTGTTATGTACATGTTAACCGGTGTACGTTTTTATATTACCCACAGAGGTTTTTAATAAATTTCCGTCCTCTGCCTCAATTTTGATAAACTATTTTTTTGAACCCTAGGGTACTGAGGGGTAAAATCTGCAGTCAGTTTTTACTAACTTTGCAAACTAATGAGGACCATAACTTTATATACGTACTTTCATGTTATAGCAGCTGTTTAGAAACGTTTGCTCAACCTTTTTGAATTTGACTTGGAACAACCTTCAAATGTCTTCCTAAAGATAAACTGATCTCTGATTTGAACCCAATGACCATAAGGACGTTTATAACATGTATCCGGTACCAATTGTTAGATTGGTTTTGAATTTACCCTTGAAGCGATCTTGAAATAATAATAATCCGGCTTTATTTATACTAAGTACGAAAAGGC